CCCCAAAACCCCAAAACCCCAAAACCCCAAAACCCCAAAACCCCAAAACCCCAAAACCCCAGGCCTCAAATATTGATTGAAATGCATTTTTTGATTACGTGGTAGTTCCCCAGGAAGGATCAACATAATGCACAATATAAGCACATGTAAGAGGCATGATTCAAGTGAGAAGAGCCATTATGAATGTCGAGATATACACCCAAGGAGAGTCCTTAGTGTATTTCTTGAAGAAGCTTCTGCCTGCTAACCACCACCCTGATTTCTCTACTTCTTTTGGATTTTTTGACCAGTTTGGGAGAGTTTTCCATAGCATTGCTGTGATCAATATCATCCATCCATATGAGAGGAAAAGAGCAGGCATGAAGATGGCCTTCAGGTAGAAAGGAATGTATCGAGCTCTTGCTATAGGGTATAGCGCAAGTGAGTATCCAATTCCTCTTGAAAAATAATAGCAGATTGAGTATAGAGTTACGGCATATAGATATTTCTTTGTTGTCTCTAGATTTTGTCTTTTAAATGCTCAACGAATAATGAAGCAAGGACCAGACCATTCAGCAAAATAGAGACCGTTGAACATAGCACAACCACCATAATGTTCATACAGAGTGAACACAGTGAGGGCGATTGAGGCTAAATGATGTGCAACCATTCCTGCATCAAAAGTCTCATAATACCATTCTGCCAAAGTATCATAGATGAAATAACCACAGGAGTTTGCAGTCATCAGATACTCACAGTAAAGAGTCTTACGATTGTAATTATGTCCATAGTGGTACACAATGTAACTTCCGATTACAAGACAACTTAGGGCATGGAGAATTGATACCCACTCTAAGTAATGAATAGAATAATCTGGCTTTTTCATCCTACTCCATTTTCCTTTATCAAGTCTCATTGGTTCTGGACCAAACTTAAAGGAGAGTACTGCTCATCCACAATAGAAGAAAAAGAAAAAGAATGTCAATCCTATTCTTAATTGGGCACTCATATTTGCTTCTGTGACCAGTTCTCCATTTACATCCAATGACGTTTGAGCAAATCCTTGCAGAATCATTTTTTTAACTTCTATTTTAAAATTATTAGGATTCAAATGGTAAATAATTATTGGGGTTTTGGGGTTTTGGGGTTTTGGGGTTTTGGGGTTTTGGGGTTTTGGGG